CATGTATGAAAATAGTACTTTTGAAATATACCTATTACTCCAGGAAATTTGTTTTTCTGAAGAAAAAATTGTTTTGTAACCTCTCTCTCTTGCAATGTAGGGAATCTGATAACATTTGGTGCAAGAGATAGTAAAAAATTTGTAACCCGGGATATAACATTATACACATCGTACTTATGGTGATCCCAAATCTATCTGCCACATCTCGATAGCCAGCACTTTCATGTCCAACATACCAAAGAAAACTTATAATATGTTTCTCTGGAGAAATAGGTTCATATCCNGCATGAGCTGTAATAACATACATATAGATAAATACAAAGATATTATATTCTAAAAATAATGCGACAAAAATACATATTTATAAATAATATGCATATGGAACTCAATTAAGATAATAAACCTTGTAATGCCAAAAAGATTGGAGATGCTGCAAAACGACCGATTAACTCATTAGTCAAATCTCGCGATAAGCGAAAGTGCATTATNAAATCACTGTCAACGTATGAATGTACAACATTCTCAATATAATTTAGAATTTTTACGCGATGTACTCTTTGAACAACTCCTAATACTGGTTCTAATATTTGCTCAACGTCTCCATCTAAAAAAAAACAATGCTTTGAAGTAGGTTAAGTATTATCTAGTGTATAGGTTAGGTATTACCTAGTATATAGATTAGATATACACTTTAAGCAGAAGTTAAACAAATGTACTCACATTACTAATAAATAGAGAATAATTTAACTGTTGTTCCTTACCAATATTTGCAGCAAATAAAACAGGTGGTTCAGGAATAACCTCTTCATCATACTCTTCTTCATCGGATGACAAATCAGATTCCAAAATATGACCAAGAATTTCTGCATTTATTCTATTCATTTTCCAATTGTACCAGTACACAGTTAATAACTTCTAAAAAACTAAATAATTTTTACTCTTTTTTGTACTTAAAACTTCAAACAAACACCATGCACAAATGGCTGTAGTACACTTCTGTTACACTCTGGCGTTCTTCTTGAAAAGCATACACTTTACACGATGTTTCCCCCACTTCCAAAAAGTGTAGTGTATTAAAAGTGTAAGGTGTACACTTTACACTTTTCGTGTATGCAAGTAAAACAAACCTATTATGTTCCGTCTTCCTTCCACTAAGCCGAACTATAAGGCAAGACACGAGGCATGTTGCGCGCTTGTTTCGTATGACAACGTGAAATGCTTTTTCAAGATTTACAGTCTTGAAAAAAGTACATAATATTATTGATAATAAAATCTCAAGAGGCATTACGTATTATTTACTAATGTACATTATATATTAATTAGTAATATTATGATTATTAAATAA